CTCAGCCGTGCTGCACACACTCTCCTCAGCAGGTAATGCTGCTCACACCTTAAACTGCAGTGAGCTGTAATTTCTCCACTGGGGGCTCAGGAGTGTTTGCAGAGACCTGTGCCAGGCCAGCACCTCCTCTGTTTCTGATGTTTTATTATCAGGTTACCTGCAGTGTTTTCTGTGATGTCAGACTGAGAGCCTGGAGCTGCATGACCAGTGAAACCAGGTCACCTTTACACTTCACCTCCACTTTCAGAGGCATGGACATTTAAAAAAAAAGCACAGGGAGACTGGCCCAGATTTCATCACACAGAAACCCCCCCAAACCCTGCTCCCAAGCCAAAGGGAGGAGCATATCCATAAATACATAACTAAAGTTTACCACTGCATACCTCTGTGACTATCTGGCAAGCAGAAGGTGCACCCTGAACTTCTGTATGTGAGTTTACATTCAAGGGTATGTAGATGTTGATGGTGGGAGAGCAATTAAAATCTAATATTCATAACTCCCCTCCTCACATCAGCAATTAAAATCTAATATTCATAACTCCCCTCCCCACATCAGCAATTAAAATCTAATATTCATAACTCCCCTCCTCACATCAGCACTTGCTTTCTGGCCATTGTTGAGCACCAAAGGAGGGAATGAGACACAGTCAGAGGCACCAAACCTTTCCAGGCTGCTGTCCACGGGTGCTGGTAACCAAAGCACACCCGGTGGTGAAATGCTCCCTCACCTGGGCAAGCACAATTCACATGTGCAGCTGCTTGGCAGAGAAACTGAGTTTAATTGTCTGGCTCTAACTTATGATATATAACTGCTATTTGTGCAGCTCAAATTGTGTTCTTGCAGGGATACAAATACTTTCAGAAAGAGAAAGAGTGAGCTCACGAGGTTGATCCACGTAGAGCAATTTGTTAAATATTCTAAACCCAGCTCTGCCCAAAATAGCAGCAAGTGAGCTGACAAATTACCTCCCTGGGCATTGGATATTGCAGCTGAAAAATGTGTTAGTGCCTATGGGGAAATAACAGGCTAAACAGTGCCTGGTGTGTGTGCATGTCTGCCTGTGTTCTTTAAATAACAAATCAGCCACCAGTTGCATAAACTAGCATTTAAGTCTGAAAATACTTCTCAAAAAGCAGTTTTTGACCACTTTGATCCACGGTGTCTCTGCCAAGAGAAAGGATTATGCTGTGAGGAGAACTGGGGGGTTGCTCCTTCCAAGTCCCACTCCCCAGGGCCAGGCAATGCAGGATCCAAGGAGCCTGGGCTCGCTGATGTGGGGGGAGTGTGGCTGGGGAACAGCTCACACACACTTTCCTGGGCAGTAATTCACAGACCCTCCCAGCCCTGTAGAGATTCCCACACCAAATCTGCTCCTTCCTTGGGCTTTCAGTCCTGGGATGTGATGAAGGAAATATTTCCTTCCATATGTAGGACTTTTGGCTTCTACCTATGCCTTAAGGTTTTAAGATTCCTCTCCCCCACACCCCAAACCACAACACACAACCTCTACATCATCCTCTGAAAGCAGCTTCACAAAAAATCCTTGCCATTAATTTAAGCTCAGCCCAAGCTGCCCTGGGACGTGTCTTCAGTGGGAAAAAAACCTCACCTGGACAAAGCACCTGAATTTTTGACACAAGACATTAGAAGTCCTGGCAGGAGGCTTTGTTTGCCACCAGCCCTGCTGTGTTTCCATGGAATGAAGGGAATTGTGTGGAAAGCATCCGTGGGCATGGGCAGGGAGGGAGGGGGGGATGCTGGGCTGGGCTGCAAGGCCTCTGACTGCTTTCCTGGAAATTGCTGCTTTCCTGGAAATTGCTGCTTTCCTGGAAATTGCTGTTTTCCTGGGGGTACCAAATCAAAGGAGTTACAGAAGTCATTGACAAAATGTGGTTTGGTAGGAATAGGGAAAACGATCCCAAGGCCATTGAATTTCACCTCTCATCTCTGTAAAGCTCATTGAACCACAAGTGCACTCAGTTATTGAGGAGCTGGCAGTTCCACAGGATCCCCTCTGCATAAATTCAAGGGCCATGGCAAAAATGAACTCTTACAGATCTGCTCTGCTTCTACAGCAGGTCATGATCTGCCCCTAGAAACCTAAAATTAAGAAGGGGTCAGAAGATTTGGAAAAAATAAAAAACATTAAGGAAATAATTATAATTAAATTTAAACATCTTTAATTCACCCTCTCATCCTCAGAATTAGAATATTTATGTCAAAGTAGAGGATGATTATTGAGTTAGGAGCAGCTCTTTTTTTGAAGTTTTCTCTTTCTTTTTGTTCTGCAGTTCAGGATGGTTTTGTTCTACCTTTGTTCCTGAGGCTTTGTAGCTGATGTGCAGCTTTGGACAGGAAGGAGGAAATTTCACCTTCACATTGTCTACCTTTTTTTTTCTTTAAACCCAAGGTCTTTGCACAGCAAGACAGTCTTTGCCACATTTCCTTTAAGTGGTAAAGATTTTCTTCTTCCTTCACCTGTGGCTCCAGCACAAACTTTCTTTTGTCCAACATTTTCAGTGTTGGTCTTTTCAAGATTTCCTGCTTTTCTGTTGGGAATTCTTTTCATTTTATTGATGTTTCTGCTGGACCTGACATCAAAAAGAGTGGAGCCTTTTGAAGAGCAGAGTTCAGCTTTAGCATATTTTTCCCATTGCTCCTTTCAAAGAGTCTTGTGGCTAAATTGCAAGCAGGCTTTGGTGGAAGCAGGAGCTGAGCAGCCTGAGCAGAGGGGCTCTGCCAGGTCTGGGCACCTGAGCACAAACCCAGAGAGCTGCAGTCCCTGCTGAGGGAGCTCCTGCAGCTCTGACAGCTCTTCACAACAAGGCAATTTCCTCACAATTTCCTCATAATGAGGGTATTTCTTCACTATTTATTCACAACAAGGGTATTTCTTCACTATTTACTCACAATTAGGGTATTTATTCCCAATAAGGATATTTCTTCACAATTTATTCACAATGAGGGTATTTCTTCACTATTTATTCACAACAAGGGTATTTCTTCACTATTTACTCACAATTAGGGTATTTATTCACAATAAGGATATTTCTTCACAATTTATTCACAATAAGGGTATTTCTTCACAACTTATTCACAACAAGGGTATTTATTCACAATTTACTCACAATAAGGCTATTTATTCACAATTTATTCACAATAAGGGTATTTATTCACAACAAGGGTATTTCTTCACTACCAGGTTATTTATTTGTGTGCTGGGGACCCTGAGCACCTGGGCTGGGAGGCAAAGCACCAAGCCAGGCTTTCCCCACAAAGGCAAAGGTGCAGCAGGAGCTTCCCTTGTGGGGTGGAAATCCCTGACACCAGCCCAGCCCTGCCCAAACTGCTGCTGCCACTTGTCTTGGCAAACCAAGGCAGCCCAGCAGCTCCAGTTTGCTGCTGTGTTTGGGCAGCCCAGCAGCCCCAGTTTGCTGCTGTGTTTGGGCAGCCCAGCAGCCCCAGTTTGCTGCTTTGCTGCTGTGCTTGGGCAGCCCAGGCTTTCCCTGACCCTGCCCTGCTCCTGTCTCTCCTCCAGGTGAACATTGGCATCCTGGTCGCTGTCACAAGAGTCATCTCCAGGATCAGTGCAGACAACTACAAGGTCCATGGAGATGCCAATGCCTTCAAGTAAGTTTTTCCCCGTGGAAATGTGAGGAACAATCTCCCTGGAGCAATGTTACCCCGTGCACTGCTCCTCTTCAGCAAAAGTCAGACCTGTGCAAGGCATCCCCACAGCCAGGCAAGCTGAGTTTTATCAGAGCTCTGCAGGGTGAATCCCGTGCTCTGCACCAGCTGAAATGTTTCCCTGCCTGCTGCAGCCTCCAGCTCTTGCTGATTCATTATTTTCCCTTTTATTACTGAGACTTTCCCCTTCCTGCTCTAGTCAAAGCTGAATTTCACAGAGCATCATGAATCTGTCCTGGGTTATTGCAACTCCTCTCTTTTCTGAGGACAGGCCCTGTTTCTAGCCCCAGCTCAGGACAATATTTAGGCACAGGATTGTCTTCAAGACTCTCCTGACACTGCAAAGCACACAGATTACACTGCATTTAAATGTGTGCCTAAATTCAAGCAGATCTTTGTGTCAGTGCCTTGAACCTCTTGGGGTGGTGGCCTCAGAGTGAATCATCTCTAAAATAGCACTGACAGGTCTGCAGGGGAAATGTAAGGCAGACACAAAGCAGAATAAACAAATTCTGATTTCTGAAATATAGACAGATTACATGTGTGTAGCTAAGAAGATAATTTAATATATGGAGGCTAAATGAAGATGCTGAATATTCCATTTTGTATCTCCTAAAGATGCTTAAGTCCAAATAGAGAAATGACACAGTAAATAAATAAAAGAATATGGAGCTTAGATGGAAGAAGAATGTGATGATGGCTTGTGTTCAATGGTTCTGAGGCACAAGTTATTGCATGATAAGGATTTGGTGCCACTGCTCTGAAATGCTATCATAAAGAATAATTTTTATGCTTGGATTACTTATGTAATTTTAAAAATGTCATTAAGTTTTAAATATTGGTGACAGTTACCTAATTCAAGTTAGTTTAGTTATTGTACACTTATCCAACAGGAAAAGAAAAGCAGTAAATAAGTCTGCAGAAAAATCAATAAGATAATTACACTGTAGTGAAATGAGAAGCCTGGGAATTAAAATGACTCTTTCAGGTTTGCCTGAGTTCCTGTGACCTTCAGAAATACAAAGGAAATATAGAAACTTAGGAAGCAAATAACTGTAGATTGTCAATGGCAATTTTTATGCACTATTAGAAGTATGAAGACAAAGACACCTCCAGAAGTACAAGAGGAGCTACAGGGGTTGCTCCATGTACTTGAATATTTTATTCTATTGCAAGGAAAGGATTCAATGCACGCTGTTCCCTGCACACTAACACAAATTATTTATTTTTTAACTGAGTGTGCCCATAAGTAAATCGATTTATGAATGGGCTGGGAATAAGATGTGATGCCTTTAATGAGCAGTTCTTAGCCCAGATATGATCAGCTGCAGGTTTGGAATGGTGTAACTCTGCACTGAAAATGAGATTTTTCCAGGTGCCCTGGAGAAGCAAAGCTCTTTGTGCCAAGCCTTTTTCACAGACAGTTTCAGGGTTTGATCTAACAAAAGTTACAGGGAGAAAAGTGGAGGAAAATGATTATCAGAGGGCTGATGGATCTGAAAACTTGAACCATGAAGTTATTAAGTGGAAATATGCTCTGATAGAACAGCTTTCCTCACAGAACTGAATTAAGTAAATACAGTACAATAGAAGGCAAACAGAACAAGGAGAATAGTTCTGTGGATATTCCAGAAATGGGTCCTCCAAGGAAGTTTGAAATGAGAAGAGCATAAACACAAGTTCAGATCTTGGGAAGTGTTTATGGCCTGGTTTAACACAGCAGTGAGGCCTGGTGAATTGGAGTTTGATGTACAGAGGATGCCATGGAGAAAGTAACTGGTCTATTGGAAACAAAGATAATTATAAAGCCTGTTTGTCTGGTGTGAAATCCTTCTGTGTATTTTCCACAAAATGAGAGCAAAAAGCAAAGCAGGTGCAGGGGAAATGTTTCTCCTGGCACAATCCCTGCTCCCAGCACTGCAGGCTCTGACTGAGCTGGTGACAGGAGGGGAAAGCACAGCAGGAGCAGGGACAAATAGGGAATCCAGAGAGCCTGAGGGGCTCTGTGGTTTCTGTGAGCAAGGACTGCGAGGCAGCTTCAGAATCTCCAGGTTCTGGCTTAGGGAGGGGTCCCTAAGCTGCAGAATGCTTTGTGTGCCCCGAGCCTCTAATACAGGGCTGGCAGGCATCCCTGGGCACTGCAGCTCACTGGAACTCTCTGTGGGCAAGGCTGGGCTGTGTCAGGAGCCTTTACCAAACCCTTCTCACGACCCCAGGGCTGCATTAAACTGGCACAGCGTGGTTTGGTGGGGCAGGAAAGCCCTGGCACCCCTGTGGGATGTGGAGAAGGAGAAGTGGCTCCTCTGGAGCTGTGCTTGTGGTTTCAGAGAGCCAAAGGCACAAAACGAGAGCTGAGGGCAAGGAGCTGTGCAGGGGAACCTGCTCAGCCCCATAAACTTGAGACAGAAGCAAAGAGGGAGTTCAAACCCAAGCAGTCTGAACATGGCAGCAGGTTCCACTGCCCTGGCTCCTCCTCAGCCTCTGCTGCCAAAATAAATTCCATTGCTGCTGGCAGCCTGCATGGGACAGCACCTGCCTGGCTCTGTGTCCCCTCATCCTGAGCTCAGCAGAGCTGGCACCACGTCCCTGGGCTCCTGG